AGTCTTGTGATTGCTGGCTTTTCCACCAGCTTTTTCTTGTGTTTTAAGACACAAAATAAGCCAGATATCCAGAGCTAAATAGGGACACGTGTGCATGCGTGCATGCATGCATGTGTGTGTGCATTTCAAAGGGGACTGGGGCTGATGTCTCAGGAAGTCCCTTCCACTCCTCTGGTCCTACGAGTAGGGGTCTGCCCATGCTATTAGCCAAAATGTTAGCCCCTTCCTCTGCTGCCATTCACAAGGTATCATTCGGCTGCTGCCTGCGTGTGGTTTGTGCCGTATGCGAGAGGAGAGGGGCCTTGCATAGGAACCCAACTGGTGGGTAAATGTCTGGGCTCCCCCGTCCTTGCTGTTCAGAAGCTGCCCCTGTCCAGGGAGGCATGTCTCTGTGATAAGTTCATCTCATGCAGTGCGTAGCACGACAGGGGCTGGAGGTGGCACTTAATAATAGTCCCTGAGGGACTTGGCCAAAGGCCTGGCAGCTGGGGACTTTAAAACAAGGCAGGACATAGTGTGGGGGAATAAACTGAAGGAGGAGTTCTGACCTGGCCCAGTAGGATGGGGATGAACAAGGTATTTGTCCTATGTGAATCTAGAAGCAGAGTTTTCCCCCAAGCTGATAAGTGCTGAGGATGCTCATACTAATGACCAGCTCTTGGGGACCCTGCGGGTGAGCCTTGTGAATCCCAGCCGAGACGTGGACGTGGCTGCAATGGAGGATGCACTTGGTGGGACAGGGTGGGGACTGGGGTGGATAGATCTCATCAGTCATGAGCCATGAGAGGGCATCGTCTTGGGATTATCCCCTGGGCTTATCCTTAGCTATGGTTCAATCACCCAGGAGCTGGCCAGAGATTTCCTTGATGCAGGGGAGACTGCTATAAGAGAGGCAGTGTGGTTTAGCGGATAGAGCACCGGATTGGGGCTGGGCAGACCTTGGGTTTTGTTCTTGGCTCTCGCTTGCCAGGTGGCCTCAGGCTGATCACAGCATCTGCGTGCCTCAGTTTTCCCACCTGAAGGGTCTCTGACCTTTGTAAACTGCCTCTGCATCACAAGGAGATGAAAAGTGCTGCATCGGAGCTGAGGGTTATTTTTAGGAATGAGCTGCTTGCTTCTGCATCGGGGCATTCGCAGCGAGGTAACATCTTTGCAAAGGTCGTGGTGAAATCACCCTTTATGCATGGTGCGTCGTGGTCCCTATGCCAGGGTCCTACGGCTGGAGTCTTCTGTTTAAGACTGAAGCAAAAAGCAAATATAGCGTCACTGGACTGAGTTAAAAAAACACAACCCGCGGGGCTGTGAAATAGGAGTTTTGTGACCAGGAGCAGCCAAACAGACTGCAGCCTGGCAGCGCGAAGGGTAGCTGGATTGGTGGAGCAGCAAGCCCATTAAAGAGGAGAGAGGGTTGCTAACACCTGTGGGATGCAGAGTTTAGAAGGGATCAGGTAGATGATAATGAGCCATGAAGTCAAGCGCTGCCTGCCTAGAAATGCTGCTGCCCCTGCCAGGCAGCCAGTTTGAAACGTGGGGTGGAGCAGAAATGAAAAGGGGTGGGGGGGGAAATGCACCAGTGTACCCTACCCTGGATCTGCCCCCGAGGCGCCACACAATATTAGCACTGTTGTGTGTGCAAACATCTACGTGCTGCACAAGGTCAACCCTGAGACGTCAGATAGGAATCCAGAGTGAAGGCAACGTTGTGGGCTTGCTTAGCTCTTTGCAGAAGAATTGCTCTTGTATTTTTTCCCCAAGTCAAGGAGGAGATGAGAGCTCTAAGCGGCGCCTGGAGTCCGGCAAGATCGAATCTCTGGTCCTGGATGGATCTGAGGTTGGCCTGGGTGAGAGCATGATTTGGAAACTAGAGCAATGCAGGGGTGGCAGGGACATAGTGGTCATACAGCGCGCACGCCTCGGCCAGCTCCCAAGCAAGCTTGTCGACCCTGTTCTTAAAAAAGCCTCCGTGGATGTGGATGCGACAGCCCCCCTCATCCTCCTGCTCCAGTGCTTGCCTGCCCTTTTAGGTAGGAAGACTATCTAACCTAAATCTCCCAAAGGCAGATTAGTCTCAGCCTAACCTCCACGTGCACGGAGAGCGAGCGCTCATAATCCTCTCTCTACCTGCCTTTTACAGAGTTGAAGCCTCTCTCTCTTTTTTTTTTTTTTTTTTTAAATGTTAAACAACTTTCTCCATAGATCATGCTTTGTAAAATCTCTCGCCATTCTTGCTGCTCTCCTCTGGACTCCTCATTTATCTACATCTCTCAAAGTGCAGTGCAGGAAACCAGAGCCAGTCTTCCAGGTGAGGTCTCACTGGTGCTAAGTGGAGTGGAACCGCTCCCTCCCTTGTGGGAATCCGATCCTCCTTTTAAAACATCCCTCAATGATAGTTGCCTCTTTTTTTTTTTTTGGTATTGTGTTGCTGTCTCCCATTCAGTCTGTGGCTCCCGCTACCCCCGTGCTGTTCTCCAGCCAGATCATTCCCTATTTCATAATTGTGTCTTTGATTATTTTTTCTTTAAGCGCGTGGTGCTTCAGCACGTCTTGTTTTTTATTGAATTGCAGCGGATTGACTCGGGACATGTCAGGGTGTTTCTAAGTCTTTCTTGGGGGTATTGGATGGTGGCTGCAGCCAAGGCTGGGGGATGGTGCCAATGGTCCTGTTGGGACTTAAAACTGGAGGTTCCTGGCTAGAGGGTCTTGTCCCTTTGTTCGAGGTCAGACTGGTGTCATATTCGGGGTCAGGAAGGAGTTTTCTCCCATGCTCAGATTGGTACGGACTAGGAGGGTTGCCCTCTTGTAGCAGGCAACGTGACCCTCTCCCTGGGGTTTTGAGGGTCTATTAACAATCTTTGGTAGAAGCAGGACATCGGCTGCCGTGGGTCCCCTGCTTTGCCTCTGGCAGGTGAAGCTGTGAAGTCTTTTGTTGTCAGGGCGGATGGTAGTTGAATGAAGAGTTTCGGTGCTGGTTTGTATGGGGCAGTTTGGACAGGGATGATCCTGCCTAAGGCAGGCGGTTGGGCTCGATGTGACCTCTGCGGGTCCCTTGCAGCCCCGCTGCTCTCCGATTCTGCGATGGTTTGTCCAGTTTATTGACACCGGTTTGGATCCTAACCCTGCTCCCAAGGGCATGCAGCTCCTTCCACCTCGTATTGCTTGCAGATGTTATGATGTCTCCTCTCTTTCATTCCCTTAGCTAAGCTGGTAATGAAAATCCTCGAGTAGGACCAGACCCGACCCTGCTCTGTATGCCCCCCCAGTGTCAGCAGCCTATGGATAACTACTCTTTGAGACCAGATGCTCAACCAGTTGTGTCCCCACCTCCTGGCAGTATCATCCAGACCGTCCTTCCTGGGATCGTGAAGGAAATGCCGATGCTGCAGGAGGCTCCTCACCTGAGTTTTCCAGGTCGCGTCCCCGTGTCACCTGTGCCCTTCTCTCCCCCTGGCTCCACCTTCCTCACCCCCCTGCAGCTGGACAGGACATGCTGACGGGTCACGGCTTGCGCTCGTGCCGGTGATATGCACTCGTGTGCTTCTTGCTGTGGTTTCTTGCATCTCTGAAGTGGGAACAGGCAGAACAAACTCTGCCAGATGTTCCCGTCCGATCTCGTCTGAGCTTCCCTGCAGCCTTGCAGGAAGGCTGTTGCTCCACCCCACATGCTTTTTTGGCCTCACAGCCGGTGAACCCCTCCATTGCGCCTTGGCAGGCATGTGCCAGGTCTTGGATGGCATCAGCGCAGCTCCCCGCAGCACTGTGGTGGGCAGGGGAGCTGCCCGTCATGCTTTGTCGGCATCCCTTGGCTCGACCTGGGGAGGGAAGCGAACTTGTTTGCGTGCGCTGGAGCGAGCCGGA